AACAGAGACATCTGCCTTGATTCTTACTTGCTTTCATTTAGAATATATATCCCACAACATAGAGACCAAAAAGGCATATTTTTTAAATAAATAAATCAATATAATTTTTGAGTATTATTGATTTTAATGTACTTCGAGAAACACTAATGAATCAAAATATTTTCAATCCCCATTTTGAGAAAGAAATTGGATTTTCACCCAATAATTTCCCTTCTAGTAAGTTTTGCTGCCCTGAAGTACTTGTAAGTACATTTTACCATTTCAAATGCTTCTATCAGTCCATTAAAGACCAAGTAGGAAAATTAAGGTTCCATATTACAAACAGTTAAGGACTCAGTTTGCCAGCATTCAAGTATCAAGGAAGCACATTATTTTCTGGCTGCAATCCAGAAGATACACATCAGCCATAAAGTAATCATAAAATGGGAGAGATGGAAAGAGGTGAAGGAATTCTTCTAAAATGCCTCACATAGTAACTCTAACTGTACTGTCTATTTCAACAGAAATGATTCTTGTTGCTATGCCAGAAGTCATACATGGTTAGTAAAATCTTCAAATGTCTTTCAAGTACTATTATATATTTTAAATACTTTTATGATAAGAGCTTTATCACCACAAGTTGTGTCTGTGTCAGCAAGTTAATGCTGTGATAAAAGTATAACGAAGAGCAACTTAACACAAAAGTTTTCTGCAAAGGATGTACTTTAATTTTATTTACCAAGTGGGCTAGGGTGTGGCTCACTGCCTAGCAAGTGCCTGCCCTGGGCTCCACCCTCAGCATCACAAAATAATAAAATAAAATATTTAGTAAAACTCCAGAAATATTTTAGAATACTTATCACCAGAAGTTCTAAATTATCAAAACTTACCATTTTAAACCAGAGTGGCCTCTAAAAATAGCTATAATTTTCAAGTTCCCTTTTTATCTACCATGTTTAGCTTCTAAGATAATTACATTAAATAAATTTAAGCACATACTCTTTATGTCTGAAACATTGTGAAAAGTTCAAGAACCTGTTGGTAAGACAAACACTGATTGCGGTTACTATTCTTGGATTTAGAAATTATGAAAAAGCTTTCTTTTCCCTAAAATTATGTCCAGTTTCAACAGTACTAGTCAAATCAGGCACAGCTTTTAAATTCCATAAATGCACTATTCTGGTTAACATAAGTACAGCTTATGTAATATAAAATATCCATCACAATACAATCTATAAAATCAACTATCTCCTATAGGTAACAACTTACAAAGATTTGTAACCTTTATACGGACTACAGTAGACAAAGGATGCATTCTAGAACCAGGTAGACTGGGATTCAAATTCAAGTTCTAACACTCAGTAAAGAAGAGCTTGGGCATCTTTCAAAACACCAACTACTTCATCTGTAAAATGGGAGTAATAGCTGCTGTAGATTAAGTGATATTGATTCTACTAATGTCTCTACAGGGAAAAATATTCCTTATACCTAAAACAAAGGCAAATTTTAAGAGAAAAATCACCCAGTGATTTAGGCACAGGTAATCCTACAGTAAGGTCTTGGGCTAACACTCGTCTGTTTTTTTCTCTATTGTAGATGGTGCTGGTTATTTGCCATGGTCGGATCATCTGCTTTACCTTATCTGTAGTTGGTACTGGTCTCATCATTTTGCATACTCTATAAAAAAGTTAAAAATACCACAAGGAAATCCATCATCAAAGATCATCTTCTTTAAATAAAAAATTTGACTATAACATCTTTATTAATTTTGGTTCAACTATAGCGAAATTACTAAAGATAAGTGTCATTTTCCATAAAATTGTTCAAACTTTCTTGAGAGCTTTTGTAAGTAGTTCAGTTTCTGTGCCAGGAAGAAGCAATCTCTTCAAGTCAGATAGTAAAAGTAGAAGCCAGATTCACCAATGCTCCCCAAAACAGTAATCATGTCTGAGACCCCTGTGACATAATTTAAAGGCTTTAGAAAATAATTTGTCAGAAGAGTTCACCTTGAAATCAAACATTTTAAAACTCCTCAGAAAACTTATTCTAGAAAAAGGTCTCCTCCCAATTCAGCTCTGGTTTACCACCAAAAAAGTTCTGGAATCAACAAAGTAAACAGACAATCCCTTTGATCTTACCTCTAGCTACAGAGTGATCCTTATACTTTTTTCAAATACATGAAGAAAACAAAGCTACCATGTCCCTTTTCTCTAAACCTTTGAATCTTCAGAGGTCCCATTTGTAGACTAAATGTCATAAGGCAATTTATGACCATCCCTAGCTCGGGCTCACTAGAGCTGAAGTAACAGCATGGGACTTTCCAACGGATTGTGACACACATTCACTGGAACAAGACAGTATTATTTCCCTTCTTCTCCTTTATCCAGGAGACCCTACCACACCCAGTCTCTCCTCTTGCCTGTAACTGACAATACCATGCATCTCTCAAAAACTATTTCCATCCTTTATAATCCTCTTAACAAAAAAACCACTTGTATTCACAGAGACTTCCTGCTGATCCTAGCTCTTTTCTATTCCTTTATATATCTGAATTTTTTTAATTTATCTTATAAAGTAGTTGTAGGAAAGTGAAATCTCTATAAATTACTAATTTACCTGGACATATTTCTTAAATATACTAAATGAGAACATGAACTTCTATTCATTGATCCTTATTGACTAAAAGAATAACTTAAATTGCTTTATAAATCTCAAGAATACACAAAGTTTTCACTTTTGAGACGAGCTTCAATAAAAGCATATGAAGAATGTGAAGTGAATCATTTAAGGGAAAACCAGGCTGGACACTGACTAGTATCTGATGGAGCTTCCCTCTATAGGAGTATGCTACAGCAGGAACATCAGTCTCATTTCAGAGGATCCGTGAGGAAAACTAACAAGCCAGAACTAGAGGTAAACTAAGTCACAGCCAAAGATCTCATTTTTATTGTAACTACAGTTCTTCAAAGTGCATCAACTATTTACATTTGTGTCAGTCATGCTTAAGTAGAATACATACAAAATCTGATTATTTCTAATCCTTTAGACAAGTGGGGAAACTGAAAGTTCAGTGTTCTCATTTACTCATTTTCACTCTGTTGCAAAAACTTCTTAAATACAAACATTTGAAAGGGAATGAATGTCCCAGCGACCTTTCCAAAGCATAAATTCTGTGATATTGCTCCTTGCTGGCCTCAGTTTACATGGAGAAAGCTATAGGCCGTGGCAGTCAGCTTCTGAGTCCTCACTCCAGTGCGCATCCCGTTTCTCTGCTACTAGCTTGATGAACTGGGAGTGGCTGGCGTAGAGCTTGAGCTCATCGCTGATGTCCACCCACCTCACCTTTCCAGCATCATCGCCAGCTTCCAGGGTGAGGCTGTCCATGATCTCACCTAGTCACCAGAGAGAATTGTTGCCAGAAAGATGATCCATTTATTTGCTTCTTTTTCAACATAATTCTCTATCTTCAAATAGCCTTACTAAAAATAATCTTAATCATCATTGTAATGGATGGCCAAGTGAATTAAAAACAATATTCCAAAATGCTTGATTTTTTTACATTAAGGCACATTTTCATATATATGTATATATATATATATACTGAATTTTATATATATATATATGGAATTTTTGTGGATTTCATACAATACATCTCAATCATATTTAGCCCCCTTTTCCTTATTTGTACCAACCTCAAAGCCCACTCACAGGATTTCATGCATTCTTTCATATGTTAAGGCCTATCAAGTCAAGTTTGTGTCAGATGTTCCTCAGTGTGAGTTCACTCACGGGAGCCTAGTCTGTCTATCTAGAATCATGCCCTTAAAAAAGATCAACTCTCCCTCACTTAGTAGTGATAAGTTGCCAATAGTTCCTCACTAAAGTTATGGCATCCTGCCCATTTCCCCAGTTCTAGGCTTATTTTTGTCTGCATTTAACTAAGTTTCTAAATAGCAGATAAAGGATACAAATAAGAGTTTTTCCTCCTTAAATTAAGAATCTCATTCTTAAAAAATAATAAGGGGGCTGAAGAGATGGATCAGTGGTTAAGAGCACTGGCTGCTCTTGCAGAGGGCCCAGGTTCGGTTCCCAGCATCTACATGCGGCTAAAAACTGTCCAAAACTCCGCTTCCAGGGGATTTGGTCATCTTCTGACCTCTGTGGGCATTCCACAACATGGGTGCGCTTACACTCAAGGAAACAATACACTCATACACATAAAATTTTAAAAAGATAAAATATTTAAATTCCAGAGGGATCAAAGACTTAAGTATTTTTTAAAAAGAAAGGGAAAAAAAATGCTGGGCATGGTGGCACATGCCTTTAATCTCAACACTTAGGAGGCAGAGACAAGTGAATCTCTGTGAGTTCAAGGCCAGCCTGGCCTACATTATGAGTTCCAAACCAGTCAGGGCTACATAGTGAGACCTTGTCTCAAAAAACAAAACCTAAAAAACAAAGTTTTGATTTGTTGTACAGCTTTAAGTTATCTAACTGGACTCCTCTAGGTATGTCACTAAATCAGAACCCACAACAGAAAATAGTTATAATTTTATATTTATTAAAATATTTCTAGCTATAATTACATGCTCTCAAATCATTATTAAGAATGTAAAGACATTTCTATAGGACAGTTTGGCAATGTATACCAGGTATTTTAGAAAATAAATTCTCCTTGGGGCTAGAGAGATGGCCCAGTGGTCAAGAGCACTGACTGCTCTTCCAGAGGATCTGGGTTCAGTTCCCAGCACCCAAATGGCAGCTAACAACTGTCCATAACTCCAGTTCCAGAGGATCCACCACCCTCTTCTGGACTCTGAGCACTGCATGCATGTGGAGCACTTACACGTAGCCAAAATATACACATAAAATAAAAATAAATAAATATTTTAAAAACTAAAATAAAGCCAGGCGTGGCAGCACACGCCTTTAATCCCAGCACTCGGGAGGCAGAGGCAGGTGGATCTCTGTGAGTTCAAGGCCAGCCTGGTTTACATAGTGAGTTCCAGGACAGCTGGGGCTACAGGGAGACTCTGCCTCAAAAAGACCAAAAAAAAAAAAAATTTTTTTTAAATAAATAATTCTCCTTGATGGGCGTTTAATCAATAACCATCAGAGCACCTTATGTACTGTGTCCTCTGTACTAGGCACTAGAGATACAAGAGGATACCAGTTCCACTGTGAAGAATCTATTGACTTTAATGAGGAGGTAAATAGATGGATCTCTGTGAGTTTAAGGCCATCCTGGTCTATATAGTGAGTTCCAGGCCAGCCAGAGCTACATAGTAAAAAGACCCTATCTCAAAAAAACAAAAAATACTTTATTGAGCTGGGGATACAGTTCAGTGGTAAAGTACTTGCCTAGAATACTTAAGGCTCTAGGTACAATCCCAATACTAAAATAAAATTAAACGAGGTGGGGTGGCTTCCATCTGTAATCTCAGTCAGTACTCAGGACACCGCAAGAAGAGGACTTCCATCAGTTCAGAGCAAACCTGGGCTACATACATAATTAGACCTTGTCGCAAAAAAATTATTCAAAGTCATTAGAGAGTAAAGTATTCAAGGCAACAAGATTTACATGTTTTCTGTATATATACATAAGCATCTAACATCACATTCTTTAAAAATGGACAAAATCAAATTTTTCACCTACATGACACAGATTAAAGAAGAGATACAATGGACTCCCCTAGTCGTTAAAAAAGGTGATTGAACCTAGCATAGCAGCTCTTGACTATAATCCCAGCATTTTCAAGGTAAAGGAAGGAGGACAGCCCATGAGTTAGTGACCAGCCAAATCACATAGTGAGTTCCAGGACAGCCAGGACTATGCAGCAAGAAGCTACCTCAAAAAAAAACAAAAACAGACAAAAAAAACTTTAAAGTGATTTATATATTCTGCCATCAGACAATGCCCATAATATCTTTTTAAGTGAGACATCAAGCAAACAACGAGAATATGCCGTTTAAGTGTCTTTTATTTATTTTTAAAGCTACATAAAGTCTGGGAGAACCTAAAACAAGATGTTAATTAAAAGTAGTTGTGCATTTTCTTCTTTATAACATCTATTCTCTAAATAAGTTTGAATTATCATTAATCATGTAAAAATTACCTTTATAATAAATAAGATAATAAAGCTATTACTTAAAAGGAAATAATACTTGGTGCATAGGTTCTAAACTTCAGTGCTAATAGACCAATTCTACATCTATTCTCACTGTATCTATGATATCCATCCTCAATGGAGTGAGAGACGTCAAACAACGTAAAAATTATTGTACTATCTACATACTTTCCTCTAATAACTTGTATTTTACCAGAACTAATGTCTGAGCATTCTTTTACTCACCTCTAGTCACTTTTTTATTACACCAAACAAAATTTTAACATTTAAAGATGTGGAGTTTTCTAGTCATCACTTCCGCTCACAAGGAGAAAACGGAACTGATGAACGGTTCTTAGATCCATCAAAGAATTTTGCCACGGAGCACACTGCCACCCTCTGGTGGAAAATGCCCTCTCACTTCTAACAAGGAGCCTGAGGAAGTAATCAGTTTGAAATACACCCAGTTTACTGTCCTCATATACAGTGATTTTTACCAAGTGGAGGAGTCAACCAAAAGAAGGGCACAGCTCAGAGCTCACCAAGCAGTCTCTAGAGAAGCCCAAAGGTAAATGGGAAGTAAAAAACTCTAAATGATGTAAAGACAGTACTCATGTATGAAATTCTCGAATTAAAATTTTTAAAGGAGTAAAGGTGACAGATATGGATCCAGCAAGGAATAAATGGGGCCTTACTCCTAACTGGATAAACACAAAACCTCAAATAGGGCTATTTGCTTTAATTCCTTTTATCTGATTAACCATGGTCAGCTTTCAAAATACACTGTAAAATATGCTACAGGGTTTAAAAAAAAAAACAATCTACAGAGACAAAGCAAACACCGAAAACAAAGATTTGCTGAATTATGAGCAAAGTCTTTTCTAAGGGGAAAGAACTGTGGTGAAAACAGACGGGTCACCTATAAAGTGTGTCAATCTACCTTTGCTCTGTGGAGAAACAGTGTTTTCAACCCCACAAGTGAATAATGAACTATCTGTAGTTTAGCTGTAGCAGCCTCATTCTAAACTGCAGTTGTGTATTTTTAACAAGTTCCTGGGTCAGAAGGATGAACTTTCAACATCTTAGAACTGTGTTTAGAGAGAACAGAAATAGTGCTGAGGTTTCCCCGAATCCAAGTAAAAACACACAGTGTAAAAGTGACAGATCAGCTCACTCTGGTCCATTTATAAATAACCAAGCTCAGGAGGATAAGCACAGGGTTCCAGAGCTAAGAAGGAGTGTGGTAGAACATTTAGTCCTCTGAAAGGTACCCTCATTTCATTAAGCTACCGATGAATGCCAAATGCTTAAAACATCATCCAATTTAGCAAGAAAGCATGCTTCAAGGGAAGCTAGCTAATGTGTGAGGGTCATAAGGCACTTTGAAGAGTGCAGGGTTCCCTTCCCTTTTGTAATAACAGATTTGCCTCCTCCAATAAATTTTAAAATCTAGAGATCAAAAAAAGAACTCATTTAAAATTTTTTACTACTTGGAATCTTTTTGAGCTTTAATAATGTGTGTTCATTATGAAAATATCCAAAGCCCAAGGATACAACACTACAGTGACAATACTCTAAGCAGTAACATAAATATAAATGGCATTTCCTCCCTCACTGCCACACTTTTCCATGCAAATTCCCAGCTGATTTTGCTTTTGTTTACATAAATTTAATCTTACTATAATAATTATACTAATAATTGCTAGTTTTAAATCACATCATTTTAGCTGAAAAAACTGTCATCACTGCTGATAAACTTTTCAAGCTTTCCACGTATTCTTTTAATACTAACAACTCTGCTTTCACATAAATATAGTCCTAATCAACAGTTAACTGGTTTACAATGCTAAGACAGTCCAGATGTGATCTCACCCTAGTTAAGACTTGTAGTTTCAAGTAGTCTTCCAATTCCAGCTAGATTAATACATTTAAGTATAAAATTACCTGTTTCATCATGGTAATTCACAGCTTCTGTCTCCATCCATGCATTATCAGTGTTTCGAGGATCATCAACATACCCCTTATATATCTATTTTTAAAACAGGGTAGAAAAAAACAGTCTAGAGTGAGATAGAATGAGTGCAACAGAAGCTGCTTTCTTCAGTAATTAAGAAATGTCAATATCCTGTCACACGCAATGTTACTAAACTGGACATTTAAAAATGGTCACAATAACGTGTTCTATATGTGTTTTTACCCAAAAAAGTTTTGGGTTTTTTTTGGTTTTTTTTTTTTTTTTTTTTTTTTTTTTTTTTTCCCAAAAAAATTTTGGGTTTTTTTTGGTTTTTTTGTTACTTTTTTTTTTCTTTTTGTCTTTTTTGTTTTTTTTGAGACTGTTTCTCCTTGTACCCCCTGCACCCCTGGACCTCTTGTGGAAACCAACACGGCCCTAAACCCCACAGAGTCCCCCCTGCCTCTGCCTCCCAAGTGCTGGGATTAAAGGCATGTGCCACCACACCCAGCCCAAAAAAGTTTTTTAAAGAAGAAATGCAAAATACCATAGCACCCTTAGCACAGTTGCACAGGTTTGTTTTAGATTTCTCAGAGGACAGTATTGTCTCTTGAGGTAGCTTTAAAATTCACAAAATGTTCAATACTATACAATTTGAGAGGGTTGGGGACATAGCTCAGTGGTACAGAATGCTTAGCATGCAGAAGGCCCAGGGTTGAATTCCTAGGACCAGGGGTAAAAAAAATCTGAACTAGTCAGATTTTGATCACATACTTTTAAGACAGTTCTGTAATTTAAGTATTTTTCTGGGTTAATAATTTCTGTGATCATAATTTCATGTAAGAAGGTATATCATTCTAGATAAATAAAGGAACTAGATAGATAAAACTAAAAATTGAAACATAAGCTTACTAATACAAGAAAAGATCTAGATCTAGTTATCTAACACAAACGTGAGCAAAAAAGATCCAGAAAGGATATATAAAAAAATTAAGAAATCCCATTTAGGATGCTGAGGAAGGAGGTTGGGAGATCAAGAGCTTGAGGACAGGGGCTGGAGAGATAGCTCAGTCAGTCAGGTGCTTTCTGAGCAAGAATGAGGAGACAGACACAGCCTAATCAGTGAGAGACTTGGTCTCAAAAGACAAGGTAGAAAGCTGGGCATGGTAGGGCATGCCTTTAATAAATCCCAGTATTCAAGATGCAGAGGCAGGCAGATCTTTGTGAGTTCAAGGCCAGCCTGGCCTACATAGCTAGCTCCAGGGCAGCTGGGACTACAGGGAAACCCCCAGTTTCAAAAAACAAAACAAAACAAAAATTCCGAAGTAAATCACACCTGAGGAATAACACTCAAAGTTATCCTCATACACAGACATAGACACACACACACACACACACACACACACACACACACACACACCCCAAAACAAAAACAAAAACACAAAAAATAAAAAAGTTTTAGGCCAGCCTGGGCATATAACAAGCACTTAATCAATCTGAGCTAAGTGTCATGACCCTTTAAAAAAAAAAGAAGACATACAAACTCTGGAAAAAAAAAAAAAAAACAAAACAAAGCAATCCAAATGACAGTCAATGAAGTAAAAGAAAATCCACTCTTCTTTTTATTGTTAGTATCCAAACACCTTATATGGTATTTTCTTTTAATAACAGAGTATAAAGACAATATAGGCATAAGACTTAAATGGTTATCAACCAAAACAAACAGCCTATCACAGAGAGTTGGATTTATGGAAACAAAAAGCGATCTTCTATTGGATAGAGTCTCAATGTGCAAGAAAATAGTATATTTGTCATGAGCTCAGATTGCAGCTAAGGACAAACTAGGAGAAAAAAGTAATAAATGATCAAATTGACCTAAGTTGGGCTATAAAACTTTGAGCAAAATCTACTAAAATCAAGGTCTACAACTTTAGTTGTTTATGTGAGTACACTGTACATATACAAGTATTCTACTGGACCTCCCAGACTTCCAGAACTAAATCCTCCACAGGAACTGCCACTTCTTACCACTAGATGTTCTTGGCTGAAGAGTCTGTGCAGCTTCTCCTCTATCTCTCTCTTTTCAGCCGTGGACTTCTGTAAGGAGTTGAGAGCTTCCTCACCAAACTCTCTTTTCAGTGTGGCACTTATCTTCTCTCCTGGGTCTACCATCCCCTACAGTCACATTAAAAACAAATAAGCTCTGATTCATTCAACAAATATTTGCTGTGGTACAACCGACACTTACTATTTAATTTGTCCCCATTCCTCTGTGAAAAGCTCTTCTTTAAACCATCTGTGTGTAGGAGAAGTCAATAAAGGTGATTCATATTTGGCCACAGTGATTGGTCCAGAGTTAGGCTGTGGCAAAGTGAGCCAATCAAATTCATTTCCTAGCACTTTCCAAACTCAAACTAAGGAGGCCTTTGGGGAAGAAAACAGCAAAATGATTCTTCCCCATTGTCCAGCTCATCCCAGCCTCACTGACCTCTTCAGTGTTCTCAGAATATACCAGAAACACTGCTATCTGAGGGCCTATGCACCTGCTCTTACCTTTGTCCAAGATGTTTTTCCCCAGAAACCTAAATGGTTCACTCATTCCCTTCTTTTAGTCTTTATTTAAATGCCACCTTCTCTAACAGTCTTCCCTAACTGCAGTATCTAACTACAAATTCTCAAACACTTGTCAGTCTCCTATCCTGCTTTACGTTTTCTTAATACTTACCACCTACTACTGTAAATTTCCAATGACAATAAAATGTAAAACCCTATGATGAGGGGCTGGACCTCAGAGGTTAAGAACACTGATTGTTCTTGCAGAAGACCCGGGTTCAAATCCTAGCACCCACATGGCAGCTAACAACTGTCCATAACTCCAGTTCCAGGGGCTCCAACAGTCCCTTCTGACCTCTGCAGGCATTGCACAACACAAGTGCACTTACCTATATGCAGGCAACACATGCATACACATAAAATAAAAATAAAAAATAAAAAATGAAATATTTATTAAAAAAATTTTTTAAACCCATGATGAAGTCATCATTATGTGACTGCATTTGGCATGAGTGAAGTCTGATGACTAACCTAAGCTTTCATCAGAGTCAGCTATGATCTTTAATTCTATTCCATTTTTACCCTGCCCCCCCAAAAATATTCTTGCCAACAGCAGTACAGTCATCCTCATGTGAAACTCTCTCTATTTCACCATAAGGCATAAACTAAAAAACCTCTTCTATACATACTATACATATTTTAAAAGGTCACTTCAAATATAACACTGGCATGAATTCAACCCAGACTAACAAAAGTACACTCTTCCTGATGACGATATGGAAAAGTTTAAAACTACAAGGAACAGTTTGTAATTAAAAGTATCTTTTTTATTATGTTTAAAAGTTATCAAAATTCAACAAATAATGCTAAGAATATTACCCTGAGTTTGGAGTGAGGATTGAGATAAACCTTTACACTGAGGAATGCCTACCAGATTCTATCTCTGTGGGGTAAACACGGTAAAGATGAGAACATCCCATCATCCAAGCAAGGAGAGGGCAGAGCAGCAGCCAGATAGAACTAAAAAGTTCATGCTCGTTTCCTAAGATCTTAGAAATATACTTAAATTCTAACAGCCTTACTTTATCCTAAACTTGACAGTGCTACCTCATGGTGAGAAAAGACAGCAGAGTAGGGAGAAATGGAGGAGTGAAGATCCACACAGTGAGGCTGTGTGAGCAAAGCAAGGGAAAGAAGGAAGGTCTGTGCAGTGCAGAGATGATGCTTACCCCCGGGATTGCCCACTCGCCACAGTCTTTCCTTTTTATTGCAACAAACTGTAAGATGCATTTCCCAGAAACAGGATGTGTGACTTTATTTCCACTGTTATCCTTTTTCCACCTGTGAATGGTAACAGAAGATTAACTAAAACAGACGAGCATTCTATATAAAACAAACAAAATTATAGATACATTTTTCTTTATACTAACAAAGTATCTAAAAATGTGCCTAAAATAAACGTTTTATTTTTTAAAAAGTCCTATTTTTTTTATTAGCAATATGCTATACTTAGCACTGTTACAAACCAGAAGAAACTTTACATAAAGGGTGCTGTATTCTTTTATAATGAAAATTTAGTAAAAACAATACAGTTTTTACTAAAGTACTATCAAAAAAAAAGTTTAAAGTAGAATGTAAATTAAAGGAAAGGTTATAAAGGATGTTGTGTATTTTTGTCTACCAAAGATCCCTTTTGGAAATTTCAGGTGATGAAACAAACCTGGTAAATACGTATATTTAACATTTCACCCTGTGTTATGAGAAAAGCAGGTTGCATGGGATAGTTTCTGCTGTGCCTAACATCTGTTTTCCAGTCTTTATGCCTTCTTCAGATTTTTTTAACCTCACTCCATCTTATATTTTAATGTTATGCCTTGAACTGAATTACATTGTTAGGCTATGCTCACTTCAGAATATACTTTCTAACCATATTTTCTTTCTCAGAGATAAGTCGCTTTTCTCCTTCCACTTTTTTTTTTTTTTTTTTTTTTTTTTTTTTTTTTTTTTTTTGGTCTTTTTGTGACATGGTCTCCCTATAGCCCCAGCTGTCCTGGAACTTACTATGTAGACCAGGCTGGCCTTGAACTCACAGAGATCCGCCTGCCTCTGCCTCCTGAGTGCTGGATTAAAGGCGTGCACCACCACGCCCAGCCTTCTCCTTCTAATTTTAAGATTTTTTTTTCTAAATATAGTCTTATAAGCAAAAATAAGAATTTTGAACTTCTAAACTGGGTGTGGTGGTACACACGCCTTTAATCCCAGCAGGTGGATATCTGTGAGTTCAAGGCCAGCCTGGTCTACATAGTGAGTTCTAGGCCAGCTGTGGCTATAGGGAGACCCTGTCTCAAAAAGACCAAAAAAAAAAAAAAAAAGGATTTTGAACTTCTAATAACAAATTAAAAAAGAAAGTCTTTGATCTAATTATCAATCTAGAAGAGACTCAAAAGTATACTAGTTTGAATAGTTTCTCCAAGTTTCTTTATCTAGTAGTTAACTATCATATCTAACCTACAACTCATCCTGAAAGAGTTCACAGTTTTAGAGTAGAGCTAAACACCTAAATGATAACTTTTAAAAGAAAATTTCAGTTTGTTGAGTATAGCAAATAGATGTAAAATAATAACTAGTGCAATGTTTGTTTTTAAGATGGCAGACAAAGAATAACAAGCAAGAAACAAATAAAACGCTGATTCAAGAAACTGAACGTCCACTCCAGGTCTGATGCTATGAGCATATGAGAAGGACAGAGTCAGGTATGGAACTAAAAAAACAGGTGGAAGTGTTTACATGACAGAATTCATCAAATTCATGTTCTGAGGAGAGCCAGATAGTATTTTTAAGGAGGGTAAAGCCATAGCCTATTTGTATTTTAGAATGCTCACTCATTTTGACGAAGCATGAGGCTGAGCAACTAAAACACTATTACTGTCTGCCACTTGTTTGTTCTTTTATTTTTTCTTGCTACATACTTAATAAACTCACTCATTTGAAACCAAAAGCACCATTATCATAGATTACTCTTCATCACAGATCCTTCTCTGGAAAGAACAGCACCATCTACAAACAGGGTGCCCAGTGTTTCTCTCCTTAAGTAAGACTGTCTGAAACAAGTTAATCCTTTCCTAATTTTGAAAAAAAAGGGTCTATTCCTGAGACTTTCGTGGTCTCTCCAGTTGCAGCATCCCAGTACAAAGCACCTGGATTCTTCTTCATGGCACTGATCTCTTTAATCATAACTTCCTTGAACGCAACTTAAACTCACTGTTTTTCTGAAGAAACTATTCATTTTTTCAAATTTTTCCACTCTACCTTTGCTCTCAGTTCTCAGAGTCCACTGGGCTAAAAGCAGCCAGTAACCTTGCTAAGCCTTGAAATTTCCTCTGCCAGACCAACTCATCATCTTTAATCTCAACATCCCACAAAGACTTAGGACATCAATAAAATGTAGCCAAGCTCTCTGTCAGAACCCAACATGAAGAGCCTGTCATATAATTTCCTGTGAAGACCTGTCCCCACCTGGTAAGGTGCTTGAGTACAAGCTGCGCTGTCTGCACACCTGTGAACACTGATTTTTTTTCATCCCTCCCGAGGATTGCTCATTAAACTGTCTAGTCCTTCTCTGGCTGTTTATTCCTATTTTTCCAGATTCTTCCCACAAATCAATTCCAAAGGCTTCTAAACCACGTTGTAAGACACAATCACACCAACAAACCCATTTCTCAGCACAAGTTTTTCGTATCAGATTTCCATCACTGTGGCAAAATACTTGAGAAGCTCATTAACTTACAAGGAAGAAAGATTTACTTTGGCTCTCAGTCTCAGAGGTTTCACACTATGGTCATGCAGACCTGTGGACTCTGGGCCTCGGGAACTGGACCAAAGGAAACCTTACCTCCTGCCAGCCAAGAAGCAAAAAAGAAAAAGAGAAGGAGCCTGGGTTCTAATATTCCCTTCAAGAGCACGCCCATATAACCTAAATTCTCCCACTAGGCTCCAATTCATAGTCTCCACCACCTTCCAACAGCACCAAAGGCTGAAAACTAAGCCTCCAACACAACCCTTTGGGAGACAGGTAAGATCCAAATTGGAACAGATGCTTTTTAACAGTCAAATGTCTGGTTTCCCTTTTCTGCTTCCAGTCCCCTTGCTAGCACATTCCTGATTCAGATGTGTCACTTCTTCCAGCTTCTAGTCAGCCTCATCAAATTAGAAATGGATGCCATCAGTACTGTGTTTTATTTAAGGATCCAAGAATATATTCGCTCTTCCCACTGCATTCAAACCATAAAGATTCTAAGAGAATCATAGATGGAAACACAGTTAGGGTGGTAGGTAGACAAATATTAATAAACTGATAGAGGATGGATGGATGGATGGATGGATATGAACAGCATTAAAGATAAAATGTTAAGGGGGATAAAGATCCCTTTTGGCAAGTTGAGGGAGAAAGTAAGAGAGTAAGATGGGTGGGTACTCGTGCTTCTAACAGCAACTGGAAAATAAGGGAATTAAACAGCCTTCTTAGAGCTCAATTATTGTATTATTGTAATAGGTTAGATATGAGAACAACAAAGCATCCTTGAGAAAAGTAACAATACTGACAGAATCTGCATTATTTAAGTAAACACTTGAAATTAGTTAAATTTCTCTTTGAAGAAGTGACAATTCCATTAGGAAAGTTGGTCAGTGAAGTAATTAAAAGATGAGTAAATATTTCAGAAGTATTGTTAAGATGATTCCTATATAAACAGTGTTCTAGTTTGTTTCTCCATTGCTGTGACAAAACACTCTAAACAATACCAACTTGGGGAGGAAAGGGTTTGTTTGGCTTACATCTCCCAGATCATAATTTATCAGGGAGCCCAAGGTATGAACTCAGGGCAGGAACCCTTAGGCAGGAGCTGAAGCACAGGCCACGGAGGAACACTGCTCACCAGCTTGCTCTCCTGGCCCCTGCTCCACCTGCTTTCTTATACAACATAGGCCACCTGCCCAAGGGTGGCATTACACACAGTGGGCTGGACCCTCCTACATCACTCAACAATCAAGAAGATGCCCTACAGACATGGCCACAGGCCAGTCCAATTGAGGCTCCCTCTATCCAGGTGTGTCAAGTTGACACTAAGGCAATCCAGCACAGACAACTGAGTTTATCTAGGCCTTATACAGACCTATCTTCTTTTCTCTGAATTCTGATTACCAAAGGACCACCTGGATATGTTCTGCCTCACCAGGCAGACTCAGGAAGAGATTATTTTTCCCTGTTCTGAAGACTTCAGTAGCTCCAGTTCAAACTTATCTTTGGCATTTAATATTTTCCACAATAAAATTTTATAATCTATTTGTTTACTAGCCACCATTCTATAAGAATCTCCTGTTCCAACCATGCTGTCTTTTCATTGCTGGCCAATACACAAATACAGTCTTTCCTTGGTCTCTACAGGGATTGGTTTCAGGATCCCTATGGATCCCCAAATCTTCAGATGCTTAATTCTCTTCTACAAAATAGCACAGAATTAGCATATAACCAAACACATCTTCCTTTCTTTATATCAAACCATCTCAAAATCGCTTATATTTAATCCAACATAAATGATATGAAAAATCATTATACTTCACTATTTTTGAAATAAAGACAAAATCTTTGTATGTTCAGTTTAGATGCAATTTTTTCCCACATATTTTTAATGCAAGCTTGGTTGAATCAGCAGATATGGAACGCAAGGCTATGAAGGACCAGCTACTGCTGCTACTGCTAGAACCCTTTTTCCTAGGTCTCCTCCTGCGCCAAGGTTAAAGCACCAATACAGTGACTTCAGTCAGTGGTGGACCCTATCTATAACCATGGCCCCACACAATATGGAGCCCAATAATTCCTATCACCTAGTGAGATAGTATATAACACATTATTCACATTTGCCATGATGCTTGTATAAGCAAACCCACGGCACTGTCAGTCATATGAACGTATAGTTTATATATACATTTATGTGTCATACATTACTGACAGTGACAAATGACTGTGCTATCAGTTTAGGCATTTCCTGCAGTGTATTCTTTATCATTATGTTAGAGTGTACTCCCCTACTACTAACAAAAGTTTGCTGAAACAGTCGGCATGTTACTCCAGCATCAGTCTCATACATCTTGTATTCAGTGAGTCTCTTACATCAAGAGGCCACATTGAATGACTGGCCTACACCATCTAGGCTTGTGTAAGAGCATCTTGTGATAGTCACACAATGAGAAAATTGCCTTAATGGCACATTTCTTAGACTGTGTCATCACTGTTGGGCAACACATGTTCACATTTTTTAATTTCAAATTTTCCATCTTGCAAACCAAGCCACAGCTCTTTGACAGTAAGGAACCAAAACCTTGAGTTCCTATACTTTAGATCCTCTAAAGTACCTACCTACTCAGTGCTCAGGGAAAAAAAAATGCTAAATATCTACCACATATGTCCAAAGCTCTGACACTGCAACATAGTGCCTTCTACAAAATTCAGACTTGAGAAACATGCTATTAAGTTACAAAACAAACTCATAATGTTTTAAGTTTCTGATTTTGTGTTGGGCTGTATTCACAGCTATCACTGGGCATAGAATGTAATTCACGGGCAGCAGGTTGGACATGCCCCATAGATAATGATTGTTATACTCCTATAACATAAACCACAGCCTGATTTCATTGAGTGACTGACTCACTGACTGACTGATTCAGGGGTTTTGAGATAGGCCTCACTGACTGATATAAGGGTTTTGAGATAGGCCTCAAACTCACAGCAATCTTTTTGCCTCAGTCTTCCACGTACTTTGGGGTATAAGCATGAGCAACCATGCCTGGCTAGAACCACAGCTTTCTATGTAACCATTAGAATGTCATATAGAGTCCCAGCTATGTATAAATATATAGTTGTATCTCTACACACACACACACACACACACACACACACACACACACACACCTCTCTCTCTCTCTCTCTCTCTCTCTCTATATATATATATATATATATTTATCTCTCTACACACACACACACACACACACACACACACACACACACACACACACACACACACACAGCTATAGTCTGTATTTTTCTGATCATTTAGCTTTTTGCTACTGAAATGTTTTTCTTCCTACCTGGTAATAATAGGATCTGCAGCATGATTTGGGCCCCATCTCCCAAGAAGCCCTCGGCCAACCAGTCCTGTCCGCCCTGCAGGATTTCTAGGGAAGAAAAAAAAAGGCCACTAATCACATAAAATCAATTAAATGTGTTTATCTTTATAAACCTGACTTGTTATAGCCCATGAGAAGGAACTATAAACAGAAACAGAGAAATACTATTTCCTTACAAATCTAACAGTCCCATTATGTATCTACACTGAAATCACAGATCTCATTATACTGTCAGTTAATTTTTCTTTTGCACCTATCTTAAGCTCTGGGCATGATCCTCAAGGAGGAGCTCACTCCCAAAGTGCGCCTACAGTTTAAGAATTTACTGCAGCTTCCATTTACTCTCCTAAATTCACATTGGAACCTTGCTGAACTCTGAGTGCTCTGCACATAACCCCGCATCTCTACAACAGTTTACCTTTCAGGATTCCCACTTCATTTTCTTATATCCTCTTTTTTATCTCCACTCTCCTATGCACTTACCATTGACACAGTTTATGTGACATTCTTAGATAGATACATTTTCTCCTCAGTGGGTTCTGGAGATGATGAGATATTAATATTTTCTAGATTTTAAGTAAGCTAAAATCCAATTTTATAAAATTGCCAACTAATTTCCTTTCTTATGTGTCTGTGTATGCATGTTCGAACGTGGGTAGGTGGGTGTACATGCATGTGTGTGAAAGCCTAAGGTGTCTTCCTCAATTGCTCTCCAATTTACTGAGAGAGGTCCACTCAGCTAAGCCCAGAGCTTGCCAATGAGCTCGTCTAGCTAGCCTAACTAGCCAGCTAACCCTGAAGGTCCTAGCTCTGCCTCTCAGAAGCTGGGATTACAGGCAGCCACCCTGCTTACCTGGCTTGTCCATGAGTTCTGCAGATCCAAACTCTGGTCTTCATACTTGCACAACATGGGCTTCATTCACTGAGCCACCTCCCCAGCCCCCAACATATTTCTTTTGTTATAGTTAATTCATTTGTTTGTTTTTGAGATAGGGTCTCACTATGTAGCTCTGGCTGGCCTTAAGCTTGCTAAGTAGTCCAGACCAGCCGCTATCTCAGATATCTGCCTGCCTCAGGTTCCTGAGTGGTGGGATTAAAGGCAAACCACCACACTCATCTCCAACTTTCTTTTTTCTTTGGTCTTTTTGAGACAAGACAGGTTCTCCCTATAGCCGCAGCTGGCCTGTAACTCACTACGTAGACCAGGCTGGGATTAAAGACATGCACCACCACGCCCAGCTCCAACTACTTTCTTAATCTAATGCCACAACCCAGTGTTAAATGTTAGATAAACATAGCAACACTGACCCCCAATGCTATTACTCAACATTCCTTAAGCATTCATTTTTCATATGTACCTAAAAATGCCCTAATCTGTAACCCACCTATGCAGTGCTATCTATCTATTTTGACCTCTTACTATATGAAAGCAGACAACTTGCTGATGTTTCCCTTTCAGTCATCTTTGCACTATACTCTTCCCTGTGACTGCTGTTGAAAATGAATGAAGTTTTTCAGTTTTGTACTAGACTCACAAAAATTTTAGCAAGACATGCAAAAAGAAATAAAGAAATGTCACCTGGCCAACTGATCATTTTTTTCAAGTTCACAGAAGGACAAGTAGGGGAGACAGGCAAAAAGAAACCTTGATATTAAAATTAGTAGTTAGTTTTACTTGATTTTTAAATTATATTTTATTTATTTATTTATTTAGAGTGTGTGTGAGTGTGTGTGTGTGTGTAGATGTCATGGCGCACATGTAGCAGTCAGAGGACAACTTTCTGGAGCTGGTTTCTCCTTCTACTATGGGTCCCAAGAATAGAACTCAGGTGCTCAGGTAGCTAGAGCTTTACCCATCTCACCAGCTCCAAGAAACAGTTTGATTTTTAGTCTTACATGTCTTATATATTTGAATAAATTCTTACTTTAAGGCATTAACTCATTTAGTAACTAGTGAAAACACAATTTTAAATCCTTTCTGTTAATTTATTCAATTAGTTCACTCTTCAAGTTCAAATCCTGCCACTAGCACTCACTACTTGTATGCAATTGCTAACATTCTTATCTGTTAAATAGAACCAAAAAAGACTTTATTAGTTCACATTTATAAATTCCTGCATGTCTGGCACATACAATTATACAATGAATGTCAACCATCTTCTCTGCCTTTTGAGACCTTATTTTAAGTTACTTCATTCTCAGTACCTACCTAGGTCTTCCATTTTCAATTTCATACAGGCCATTCTGGCTTTTTCTCTCAACGTGCCCATCTTTTTCATTAAATTTGGGAGAAAAGTTGCTTTCACTGTAATGAGAATGACAGGGCAAAATAAGAAACAATGAAAAACACTACCCACAGCTTAATAATGTGAATCAACATTATTTATAATAAGCAGCATCTTGGAAACAGTAAAATTTTTAAGAGTTTTTATTTACAAATCATCTTATTTTGTAAAAACAGGTCCTAGAGAGCAAAGACTCCTTTTAGCCAAACCAATACAAGGACATATAAGTGTACAGTTATTATCAAATTTATTAACTACTCTTGGAAAGAAGAAATGGAGCTCCTCCAAACGCCATAAAAAAGTCTACACTACACAATAGCTAAGAGATGGAAGCAACCTAAGTGTCCCTCAATTGACGAGTAGATAATGAAAATGTGGTTCATTTATACGATGGAGTTTTACTCGGCAGTAAAGAAAGATGAAATCATGAAATCTGCAGGTAAATAGATGGAACTAGAAACTGTTATACTAAGTGAAGTAACACCGAGTCAGAAAAAAAATCAACGTATGTTCTCCCTCTTATGTGGATCCTAGAACCAAATCCTGATAAGTGAGTATGTATCTAGACAGAATTTCAGGAACCAGGATAATGGAAAGGAATCAGGGAGGTAAAGAACCTGAAAGAGAAGAACAGTAGGAAACAGGAATTAATAAGGGAGATATGGATAAAAATTGGGTTAGTTTAAGGGAAGGGGGAGGGAAGGGTATACAAGGAACCTAGGGGATAAAGGGAAAGAAGGAGCTCAAGAAAGGTAGGACTGCAGGAGAAGGGTATTATTGAGGGAGAAAGGGGGAAAATGGGGAAACCATGATGGAGGGGTTAGACAAGGCGAGAGATAAATAATGCCTAGCTAGTTTTAAAAACCAGAGGGAACCATAGTAGTCCAACAACCTACTGACAAATTATACATAC